CCCCCCCCCCCCCCCACCTGTATCAGAGACTATTAAGATTTACACTACTCGTGATATCTGAAAATTCATTCAAATTGAACTCACTCCGAGGGAAATGTAATTTGAGAGAACTTTCAAACATCACTCATAATATAAATCCTTAATTGTCGTCACATGCGTGTGATTAGCTATGCTAAGAGATAAAAATTGTACAAATTTGACGCTGTTGAAATTGCTAACTCTGTATAACTATTTTCTTCCTTGAAGCAATTCACCGTATAGATCGGCTCACGTCTGGAATTTTAATGTTTGCAAGGTTTGTGTCCTGTAAATCAGAATGATCCACTGTTAAGACTAACAGCACCTCCCTCGTCAGTTGTCCCCAGTTATCTTCATGTGTCTCAGTCGACTATGGGTGTCCCTTGCTCTCTTTTCTTGTCCTCATATGTTCTCAGTTGTCCACAGATTTATGCCTTGGATACTAATTTTTGAGCTGAAATGACAGAACGAGATAAAGTACTTCTTAAATAATGTTGCCTTGCATCTATTCAGTAATAGATTACAGAAGACATCAAAATGTGGTAAAAACATCTGTGACACACTCGCCTAACGGCTCCTGTGCCACTTTTTTGTTCTTAATACATTTTGACGTCATCTGTGATCAATTACTTAACAGACGCACGGCAACCTGGAATCTATTTGTAAGGCTGACATCAGGGCCAGCAGTTACATATGAAATTCATTGTGCATCAGCAGAATACTGTCCAAGGCACAGGAACTTGAAAGCCAAGTGAGAAACAGACAAATAGAGAAAGAATATGTTTGTAAAGTACAAGGGGAATTTCCAAGGTAAACATGTTGTGCTTGTTAACATTTTAACCTGTCTTAAAACTTCTTAATCTAAGACATTTAGAGCTGACTTACAAACCCAAACATCAGGGTTATGGGAGCACATGGCGCATTGTGAAAAACATGTGAACAACTATGACCAGAGAGCCATTGCTCAAACATAGTGTACATTCAATCTGTTACCATTGAAGGTTAACGTGGTAGTGGAGATCTAACCATCCATACCTTTGACTCAATGCTATCATTATAGTGAGGAAGTTCTCTGTGAGGAGCCAATTGTCGTGGTGTCCCACAAGATTGGTGTTTGTCGAGTGAGTAGAGACGGAAAGCCATGTAAAACGCTCTTTAAAAAGATTAGCTACGATGGAAACTCAAGTATTGTGAAATGTAAGTGATTGCATTATAGCTGTTACTCAATAGTCAATATATCAATATTTCCCGATGCCCCTCCTGTTGGTCTGCACTACTTATAAAACCTCTATTTTGATTCGTTCTTTTTAATCTGTACCTCTTTTTGCTCGGGGCATTGGTTGTGTTCTGTGTCTGTGGTGTCGTTTAGCCAGCTTATTGTGGGGAACCTTGTAGATGGTGTAGGGCGCCCCAGTATTCATGGGGCTTTTGGAAACAATACCAGCCTTCATGATGTGTAAATACATGTACTGATGGAAAGTCGCAAAGAATAATTTGCTAATAGTTACAAATAGTATTGGAACATTTATTCTAGGCAGTACTAACAAAATGATGACAACACCCAGTTGGAACCAGTTGTACTACATGTATTTTATTCAGTGAGTTATCGAATGGCTCATAAAATTTCAATTATTCATTTTTACAGCACTGTAACAGCAACAGCAAATGTGTCAGTGCTCGACATAGAATCAGTTGACGGTCTTTTAACTTTGTATACCGTCAATAAATTGTGTTGTGATAAAGAATGCCAGAAAGGTGTTGCATTGCTAAATACTTGATCAACACTCATTCTGTTTGACAGTACATGATTGAACTCTAGCTATGGCCTATATCTCGACACGTTATCCGTACATGTGGCATAAAAAATAGAACACGTTATTCGTACATGTGGTATAAAAAAAGAACACGTCTGGAAATGTGCGACACTTCCGTGTTATTTTGTGTTTTTTCGAACTCACAATGTGATCAGCTCCCAGTTGGCTTGATAGCTCAGTTGGTAGAGCCCTGCGCCGATATCGGAGAGGTCATGGGATCTAGTCCTGTTCCCCTGAATTTTTTCCAGGCTTTAATTTCACAGCCCAGCTAAGGTTGTGTATACAACTGCGATAATCATTGATGTCTTCACATCTTTCTCTGCAGTTCAAATATATGATCTTTCTTATATTGACTTGCAAAGAAATACTAAATTGTAGAAAATGAGCTCGACGCGCTGCTTTTCTGCGCGTGGAAAGTTTTCTCAGAACTGATGCTGAAAACAGAAAGTCTGAGTGCAATGAAGTGTTGAATGGCTGACGCCATTAAAAACGGCTTTTAGTGTTAGAAGATGAAGCCGGCGGAATCTGCTGTTATAAACAGTCCTCATTAAAATGTGGCTCACTAATTCATCTGTCGTTCCTGCAATGTTGCGGAGTTGGTTTTGTTTTGTAGGTGTTCCACACACTGGACGAATGCATCAGATCCGTGTTCACTTGCAGTGGCTCGGTTATCCAATCATAAATGATCCCATATACAACCATGAGTCATGGGGACCCCTCAGGGGTAAACATGGCGTGTCAGACCAATTGGTATATAAGGTATGAGCAATGGACTGTTTTATCTTATTTGTAACAGGACTGTGTGTTGTCTTATTTGGAAATAATTGGATGGAAAAAAAAAAGAAAAACTCGAGGACTGCCAAAATTGGACGAGGCCGCAGGGCAAAAACCTCGTCTAATAATTGTTTATTATACATTCAACGAAAAAAAATGGAGGTCATGTTTTTGCTTCTTCACCGACGGCAAGCAACACAAAGCGCGCGAACTTGACATGATTACCCTTAGAAATCATGCACCGCGGTCATACATGACATGATTACCCGTGACCTTGAGCGTCCTTGACATGATTATTGTATAATCTGCAGCTAGATGATGTCACAAGCGCTTATTTCGAAAATTCACCGTACGCTTTCGGCCAATCAGAAAAGAGATAGTGAGTTCAATGTATAATAAGTTCACTTATTAAACTGGCCTTTAGCTGGTAACTTGAAACCTGTTTTAAACGGAATCCATATTGAGGACACCTTCTATTAAACGGACAAGGACCTCAGGAAATCTCTAACGTTTTCCCTTTATTTTCTGTAATATGAACCCGTATTAAGTGGACACGTGTTGAGCATATCTTTGGCTGCCGATGAAAAGGTGTAAAAGGAACAACACGTATTCTGGAACATTGCCATGAATGACCGAAAGGATTGTACATCAATTGGCCTTTTGCAACAAACGGTCACATGGTATAAAGTCCACCATGCTGGAGGACAAATGATTGTGACAGCCTTCAAAACAAAGCGATTCCAACCAGTCAAGCTTGAATTTTTTTGTTTGTTTGTTTTTTGTTCCAGCGCACAGCTTGCCTTCCAGCATGGCGGATTTTGTACCATGTGACTGTCCGTTGCAAAAGACCTATTATACCGATTTCCAGATACCATTTGTGCCTCGCCCTCTGTTTAAACGCTCTCAACAAATCTCTTACCTGTTCTTGCTTATCGCTGAGACATTGACGATACTCTACTGATTAAGGCCAGTGAACTTGGCTCCCATCAGTTTGGATACAAGCTCACGTGTTCTTTTTAATACAAACGCTTTCTGTGGTCTCTCTGTTGTCCGTTCTGTTTTGAAAAACTAATGATCAACCTTTCTTTGGTAGTATTAGCCTAGACTGTCCCAGCAAATCATACAAGTCTCAAGTAGGACCCATCAGATCTGTTAAAAAAAAAAACCACTTTGACTTTTGGGCATTGCTTTGTACAGGTGATCTCTGAACTGGCGAAATCTTCCACCATCACGACCATTAACAGCACTAACTGTAATGACGCTGAGCGTCAAAAGGAACAATATTCACAAACATCTACCTGCGACTTAATTGATCAAGCAGGATCGTCTGAGTTTGAGGAAACAAACAGCAGCAACAAAGACGAATCTGTGGAGCAGCAGTCTTGTGTTGTCCAAGTTATGAACAGCCGTGACAATGGAGATTGTTTAAATCAGGATAGTCAATCTTGTACGGACACAACTGAGCAGTATTACGATAAAGACTGTAGTGAATGCCAGATCATAAGAAGAGATCCAACACGTTCTGAACTCATCATGTGTCTCCATGCTGTCTCATACAAGGTTAGTCACTGAAATGCTGCTGGCTCATGTTGAAGTACGCACTTGCAGAAACTGTTATATATGATAGACTGAAGTGTCCACCAACAGCAGTACCAGGGGAATTGGAACACGTGTCTTTTGGTCATTTTTTTTTTCTGCCTAGGATCACATTTAGGGGAAATGGCACAAGTAATGTTCGCTTCATACTTGCTCAGTCATCTTGTCTGGCTCTTTCGTTCAATTAGACCTTCAATCTTTAGATGCCTTTCTCTCACTAATAATCGCGCGTACGTAAATTTCGAGAATTTTAAACTTCTGCGATTTCTCAGAAAAAATGGGTTCAAATGGTATAACATCACTGTCGCAAGAAGTATTTACTCGCGGAATTAAGTGAGAATAAAGAAGCTTTGACACTGCTCACCTAATTCTTTTTACGCTTTATTTCTGTTTCTGTTGTCAACTGCAGGGCCCAGACTGGGAGTTTAAGACAGGACTGCCAAGTTGGGCTGAGGAAGAGAAAGAAACCAGCTCGCCTTTGATTACTGAGAAATAAATTATCTGAGTAGAGGACACAAGTTATAATTAAAGTTATTTCAGTCAATTTGGTTTAGCATTCTTTATTGTGTGTGTCATTTGGCGCCCGAGCCGTAAAAAGGCTCACGAAAACTGCCCTCCGGCTTTCCGAAGCTGGAGTTGTTTCTCGGTAGACCGCAATTCAACTCCTTTGTCGTGCTTGTAAATAACCAACTAGCTCTGCCTCCCGCCAGCTGGGACTTATAAGCCTATTACGTTTATTTGCAATATTTCAGTTTAAGTGGCATACCTGAAAACTAGCTAGTTGTAGCTAAGTACATCGACCACTATAAACATTCAACATTTAACCTTTTTTTTAAAGGACTTACGGTAAGTTGATTGCCAGTCAAGTCATGAAAAGGAGAGCAAAAACAAGCTTGCCATTGCCCAGGACAAGCCAAATTTCAGAGCTTTTCGAAGGGAAAGCTGGAATTCAAATATTTTTTCGAGTCCTGGTAGTCTTCCTTTTCAGTTCTAACAGTAGATAGAAGTTTGAATTTCTACCGAGGGAAATAAATCTGTCTGTCTGTCTGTCTGTCAAACTTCCTGTATCTATCTGCCAATTCTTTCCTTCTGAATTATCCCTCAGTGTAACAAACATCGTTCAACCTTGCAAACTCCCCAAACTCCACATGTAGCAAGAATACTGCTGTTTCGTAATGGCGGCTCGCTTGTGTCCAATACAATGTAAGTTGCAGAGGAGGAACACACGGAGCTGTCTTGTGTAACGGTATCTATAAATCTTTTTTGAGGTACTATGTTTTAAACCTTGTTAAACTCGTGACATAATTTGAAGTATTTTGGTATAAATTTAACATGTAATATGAAATTTAAAAAGGTGAAAGTAAACCTGATTTTAACACGAGAGGTTGATGGGTAATTTCCCTTGCATCCTCTTGACGCAAATTCCAACACCGATCAGTGCGGGCTAAAACTCCAGTCCAAGTGACTTTGGCCTAGAAAAACATATTAATGCAAGTTTCAAAGCAACAAAATCTTTCAAATTGTCCAAGAAATTAACGAACAACCAACAGGCGAGCATAGCACATGTAAATCAACTTAAAACTTCTGCAAAATTGACACGTGTTTCTTCCATGGCGTATCTTTTAAACAGTGTTATGAAAGGAAAACTCCACCATAACAAGGTGCAGTTGTCAACTACCAAGTCTTCGTGCAACCTTGTCAACTCCTGGTGTTCAGCAGCTGTGAATTTGTGGGTGTCTATTAGTTGTGTCATTTCGAACAAAATTTGCTGTTCCTCGTAAAATTAAACTCAGATTTCTCGAGTTAAGCATTAGAAGAAACCAAAGCAAATTAGAATTATCTAATTTTTTTTGTCAGCTGTGAAGAGAAAAACTATTATCGTGTCGTTTCGGTAGGACAGCTTGGTTTTTAATGCCGCTCGTACTGTGGGCGTAGCCACCGTATGTAAGGCTTGTGTTTATATAATAAATTGTCGTACTAACGTTCTGAAGGAGGAAAGTCAAATGTATGGTCCAATCAACATACTAGAGGAAATTGGACACCCACGTGATCAAGCGCTGATTACGTGACAAATAGGCGCGCTGAGAACCAATCACGATCGAGAATTTTGTTATAGATACGATTACTCCTTCGATTCTGATTGGCTGAGAGCAATGCAGTTCAAGTGTAACACCAGTACAATTACACATCGTAATTCTGGATTATGATTGGCTGAAAGACAATAGCAAATTTTCTAAGCCAATGATATCACATAAAATGATGACGAAAATTTTGTGCGGAAACTTTGAAAAACGTTTTCTCGAAAGAGAAAAAAATGGTTTCAAGAAGCGGCTCGTGCAATTTCAGCTTTGTGCTTTGCTCACTCGTGCAAATTAATTCCAAATTAAACTGGAAGCCGCATGATTACCTACACGAATTGTACTCCAATCTTACTATTACAAATAATTATTAAGCTTGCCCGTGATTCAAATGAAACAGGCATGGTAGTTAAGTGTCGCAATAGTCCACGTTGTCAAGAGCCTCAATTTGAAACAGAGGCTGTTGTCAGGTACCCATAGTTACGTTAGCACGACCGTATATTTTACTAACTTTCATTCCTTCAGAGCGTTAGTACGACTGCATATTTTACTTTCCTTCTAGGTACGTTTGTACGACCGTATAAATATTCTACGTTCCTTCAAAACGTTAGTACGACCGTATACTTGACGTTCCTTTAGTACTTTAGTACGACCGTTTATTATATACATAAACACGAGTGTTTTGCTGGAAAATATACCACTCGTAAAATTCTTACGAAATCACATCCAGGACTAGGGTGGCTTATTTTCCATATCCTTACTAGTGAAGATATCGATAACTTCACTGATATCATGTTTGACCCTTAAACTGTAGTTATATTTGTTGGTGTATGATTGAAACATTTTCGGATCTTCCTCTAAAGTCCTCGGCAATCTTCAGTTATCTTCGGAAATCCTCGTAAATCTTCGTTTTAAATTCACTGCGCTCTAATTCAGTCACTATTCTATTACATTCAGCAGGGAAAATGAAAAAATCTTTTGGTGATAGATCTTTTAGTGTAGCTGCGCCTACACTGTGGAACGCGCTCCCAGCAAGCCTGCGCAATATTGATTCCATTTTAACTTTTAAATCTTGTCTTAAGGGCCCATTAACCGATCTTTTCGAGCCGTTGCTAAGGAAAATTTATTCTCATATAACCTCATCATTTTTAATTAGTTCAGAGTTATTTCAT